TAATATGCCATAAGGCCCGCAGCAACCATGCGATAACAAATTTATCACGTGGCCCACAGAGCAGATTATTGGGCTGCTGTTGAAATTAGCCCAAATGCCAACACATTATGACCACAATGTATATTGATGTGCTATCATTATCAAAACAGGAAAAATGAAGATATTTCTCCTAAACCCTAGCAAAAAGTCTGCTACAGGCCATCAGAGAGTATACAGTACTGAAAGACGGAGACAGAAAAAAGTGCCGGCACCGCATCGTCATGGCAATAGACATGGCAACGACAATAAAATACAGCAGAACCATAATTTCAGTTGAAAAATTAAGAGTGCTACCACAAAGAGTTTCTTCATGTTTACATGTGTATCAGGAAGTTGTCAAATACAGTACTGCAACAAGTGCAAGTATTTGACGACTCCCTGGTGTGTAATTCTGAGGACAATTTTTCTTCTTTTTTTCAGCTCCAGATAGCTGTATTTTTCATTGCAAAACATTCCTGAATTGTTGTGTTTGTTGTTCAAGCAAAGGTGAAGGCAGAGGACATAATTATGAGCCTGGTAAGAGTTTTGCGTGGCACATGAAGACCACACACAGGCAGTGACTTTGCGAGGATCTGAAAACGCACGACGCTGAGTTGAATTTGTGTTATTTCAAATAATTGTTTGTGATCACAGTACCACTTCGAGCAGAACTGAATCTTATCCACAAGCTTACCGACGGTCAGGCTGCCAACATGACTGAACAAATGATCCCTGGAAGCACCACACGGCAGACGTCTGAGGCCATGTCCATTGCCGGGATGTCCATCTCCAAAAAGAATTCCATCTTCTCAATGCTACGCTGCGACTCGTCGTAGAGTCGTACAGTCTACAGTCTTGGTAGTCACGCGATCACTGAAATAAACTATTTTTTTGCGGGCAAATAAACTATTTTTTTTGCGGGCAATATCGCATATTATCACTCTCTTATTATTGACCCCCACAGAAACTTGTGATCTCTAAGCGGTCAAATATCAGCATAATTATATTGACCGCTTAGGCCTCGGTCACACTACGGCAGTTTGAAGCTGGACGCAGCGTCAAGCCGCAGCACTTGACGGAGACGTGGGGTCACACAGTGTTTTGTTTTTTTGCAGCTCATGACTGCCGCGGCTTGACGCATTTGTCTACGTCACAAAACCACCCGTAAAACTCAATGACGACACGGATTCCCACGGAAACCGGCCTTTTGCTTATTATACAAAAAAAATTGTCGGACAAAGTTTTCGAATTTTTCATTGATTTTTGATTACAAGAAGACGAAAGGTACTAGGTCCACGCGTGCACGATCGTTGTTGTTTCTTTCCGAATTTGAAGCCATTTTCAGTTGTAGTGTCATTGATCAGGCAAGAAAAGTCCGCATCGCAGCTGTGTTTCTCCTGACTTTGTCATACTGGTTGTCCTTTTGGGGGCTCTTGACGACAACACAACACTCACAAGTCAACAGGCTCCAGTTGGCCGATGACCCACTCAAACAACTGGTCCTTTCTCGACATCATTTTCTTCTCAGAAAACGCCTCGCTCTTCCGCCAGGTTCGGAGCAGAGCAGCCTCGGCCTCATAGGTCCACGGACTCATCTCGAACAAAAAGAGGGAACAAAACAAACCTTGAACAGACGAATGTCGAATAACTGCTCAACTCAAGCAAAGTGTCTTGTAACTAATTTTACTTGAAAGACACTGTTTTTCCGCCAAGCGTCACTCCCATCAGCGGCAACGCAGCCGATTTCCCCACGTCAGACGCAGCAGCATCTGACGCTCAAACTTCCCGCGTTGCGTCAGTTGCCATGGAAAAGCTCATGATTCTGACGCTGACGCAGCATTTTTGCCGTAGTGTGACCGAGGCCTAATATTGACCACTTATTAATGACCACTTAGCCCGAGGACTTACAACTCCTCAACTTAGAAAAAAATCAGAACTGAAAGAAGAAATCTGAAGCCAAATGCTGGGATTTGAACTCAAACTGTCAGATTCTCAGTCAAAGAACTTGGGGAACATACTACAAGAGACAACTGAAAACTTCGGTTTACACAGAAGTAATGTCCAATGCAAACGGCATATGTACATACTATTATACTATTACAATAGTATTCCTTTCTTCCTATAGCAAAGCAAAACAGTTTTAGGTATGCTATTTCGTGATAAATCTATTACTGCCCTCATAATCGGTCATTATATGAAATATAGAACGAGTAAAAGACCGAGGTCCCCCGAGGTCTTTTACGATGTCTATATTTCATATATTGACCTCTTTAATCGTGCAATAATAGATACTTATTGCTCGCGGCGCGAAAGGTGCTGATTCGCTGGAGTACGGGCAACAATCACGTGCCATGTGATAAATATATATATACTCAATCTGCGGACAGACCTGTTTCGTCCTTTGTGGACTCGTCAGCGCAGCACAGAGGAAATGAGGCCGAACCTGATAGCAATGGAAATAAAAATTTCCAATCAGGCTCGAACGTATATATACCGTACTATCTCTAATACAAGCACAGTCTCCAATAATAGCACGTCTCCAATAAAAGAACACCTTGGGGCGGCATTCAAAAAATAAAGTGCTCAGTCTCCATTATGAGCACACTGTGTAAATTCGTTATCTGTACAGGCGAAAAAATCCTGAAATGTGTGTGTCTGACATGAATTTGGCATGGCAACAAGCCACTGAAATGAGGTTGAAATAATAATGGAACAGTCTCCTATAAAGGAACGTCTCCAATAATAGCACGGGGCGGAGGTACATTGAAAAAATAAAGGACCATGCTTATATTAGAGATAAGACGGTATATATATATTTATCACTCTTCTATATCGACCTCCACTAATTCTCGTGATCCTTGACTGGTCCTATATTACCCATATCGCCGCAATATCGACCGCTTATATCGACCGCTTGTATCGATCACTTAGGCATTGTAATCTTTCGACTTTGGAGGGACTTAGAATTTTTCTCTCCACTTCAAAAAGAAAAATTGAAAGAAAGAAGACAAAGGAAGAGAACAAGCAGGATTCGAACCCACAACAGTATGAATCTCAAGCAACCCCTCATACCACCCAGCCACTGTGCTGCAGATGCTGAACTATGTTGTAGCCACTGTGCTGCAGATGCTGAACTATGTTGTTCTTACAGTCTTGTACCCAAAATAGGCAACATCTTATGTACACTATAGTACAAATGCTATAGTACAAATGCTATACTAAAAAGGTTAAAATAGCTCCTAAAGGTTCAAATTTTGGGGTGATGGCAAAGGAATCGTGATAAATAGGATATTGACCTCGTCTAGGTCAATATCCTATACATACACTCAGACACAAAGGATCTTCAAGTTTCTCAGTGTTGCTACTCTGAGTTTCGTGCAAAAGCACTCTTCAGAGATTTCTCCTCGTTAACTCATTAGAGTTAGCACTTTGTTATATATAATTATGGCTTTTACAGTAAAGCTGGGGTGCCACAAGGAAGCATCCTTGGCCCAAATTTGTTCCTTCTCTATGGCAACGACCTTCATCAATGTTTAGGAACCAGCCTGAGTTCCTTTGCCGACGACACGATCCCGCACAGCCCCCTGAGCCATGGAACCCCTGCTGACAATAATGCCTGCTTGCAAGTGTCACTGTCCCACCTTATTGAATGGGGGGATGGGAGGGGGGTGGGGGGTGGGGGGTGGGGGGGCGCTGAAAGGTGAAGTTCGAGCCAGCTAAATCCCAGCAAATGCCCTGCACAAGATCTCCTGACCCAGCAAAGCCCAACAGCTCGTTTTGTGGACTGGCAGTTCAGTTTGATGAGAAGCTCTCATTTCGCGCCCAGATTGCCAGCACGGCCGGTAGGGCCAGCCAGAGGCTTGGGCTTCTACGCCGTGCAGCTCGAATTCTCTACTCCAGGGTACGCCAATCAGTGTGCCCTGGCTTTGTCCGCCCTATGCTAGAGTAAGCTTCCCTAGTCTGGATGTCTGCTGCTCCGAGCAACCTCACCCGATTTGATCGAATCCAATGCAAGGCGATGGCTATCATAGGACCAGGTACTCTACTCCAGAGCCTGGCTGCCCGATGCACCTTCTCCGGCCTCTGCTACTTGTTCAAGCTCCAGTGTGGGTAGAGCCCGCAGCCACTAGAAACCATGCTCCTGCCAGCTGCCCCCAGGCCTCATACCCCACAGACACGCAAGTCAGGACATGCCAGTCCATCAGCACCAGCTCATCAACCCACTTCCACCAGGTGCTCCAGATTGAATCAGGAGATCCTTCCCGGTTGCCCTCACGGGTGAATGGAACTGCCTACCCCCTGCTCTCTTCCGGCAAGAATTTTTGTTGAAGAGTCTGCCTGCCTTCAAGGCAGCTGCCTGGAAGCACCTTCGTCAGAAGGACTGGCTGTGGGCCACAGACAGCAACTAAGATCAAACAAGAGCCATAACACTGTACAAACGCCTTACGCCTGCATTTGATTTTCTACTTTATGCTGCTATTTTAGTACTACATTCCTCCCCTCCCCCCCCCCCCCCCCTCAACCCGCCCTCACCCCTTCCTGGTGATTGCACCCGGTGCTGACTACGGGACCTCTGGTCGGACTAGCTGGACTCGCCTCACCTGCACCTTGCTTTTGAATGTGGTACCCCTTTTGTTTGTTTGTCCTAGTAGTCTTCTGTCCCACTTTTCTGTTACCCCACATCACCAGTAGGATTGTGTTCTTCAACTTTTTTGTTGTATAGCTGGATGCCTAAAGACGAGCGTGAATGAGTGCACGTGTGAAGGCACTCGTGTTTTCCCGGCGTGTTTCGTGCCAAACCCGTTGACGCCAAACATGCCCGTGTGAATGCGCCCTTAGTGCATGAAACTCGGAGCCTAGTAAAACACGTTTTTTCACTCCACTCATTTCTGTTGTTCATAATACCGCATTCTTTTCCTTGTCAGATATTTCCATTCAATTTCAATGGGCTGAGCGGAGAAGTGGAGCATGGACCAACTCACCATTGAGATACAAGGAAATTGTAATGTTTCGTCGTAATATTGGTGACGTTTGGCACTGCCCTCAAACCCAGGCCGTTGCAGTTAACCGTGCCTGGGACGAGTATACATTGTCCAGTAGTGGCGCGAGCTTCTTGCAGCATCACCAGCACAACACACAGAGATACCAGGGAGGAGAACGCCTAGCAGAAAAGGAACAGACATGCACGGAGAGAATGCATACCCGTGGTAAGCAGAGGGAAGTGCCACTACGAGCTGTGATGGCGGTGCATGCAGCTCGACACGCATCACCAAGCAAACATCAATGCGTGCCTGACTTGGCACAGCAAGCAAACAAGTGACCTCTCCAGATCACTCCCCTATTCGAAGGATACTGTACTGTAAAACCGGGAATTTTTCGGTAGTGTAATCTTTTCGGTACTTCTCAAAATCGATGGTTTGGTGGCGAGAACATTTCGGCAAACCAGTTTTCCAGATCCAAATATGCATTTTGCACACTGGGTGGCATAGGCTTGTTGAATTTTAGGTCGCGCTTCATTTTAGGCAAAAATCACCTGTACTGAAGTTACTGAAAATATATCTCCACCGAAATTTTCCGGTTGTAAAGTACTGGTGGCCTGGCTACCAGTCGAGTGCAGACATTTTGCATCAAAGAGGAACTGTCACCAACAATTCTGTGTCTTACGTTGTATTTCTGAAGTTTTCTGAATCACAACGGTGAATTTTGTCTATTATCAGGGGCAGCTGGAAATTGAAGTCCGCAAAACCTCCGAGCAAAATGGTCTGCAAGAGCAGCGAGACGTTACCCAGTACTTACACTTCATGCTTATCTTCTTCTGCAAAACGATCCTGCCTGCATGTGTTGTATGAATCCGTCAGGTGAAATAGCACATCATAGTACATTTGAGACCAGTGGGAAGAAGGTGACGACGTCCATTCATTTAGTATCTGTGCACACGAATGTGCTGTGTGTGTGTTAGATATTGCATGCGTCTTCACTCTGTACATTGACTCTTGATTTGACGGCTGCATGCATCTCTTGTATTTATGGCTACTGTGTGTTACCGTCGGACAACATTACGATTTATTGTTATATGTACGTTCTATGTCAAGTCAACCCTGTTCCCATTCGTTTCAGTCTAGTTCTATACTTACTGCCATGACTTGTCCCGTTTATGGTTATACAGTCTTCTTCTTTTCCTGTCGTGTTGCTTTCGTTTGCCGGAGACTTCTACGGTATGTCTCTATTCGCCTCCACGATGTCCTTATCCTGACACTAGCATTTTCTGCGTCGCGTACGGCTGGTGGGAATATCTACCCCAGCCGTCGTGATGTAGACGCTTCCTCATCATTACTACTTGGAGGACAGTCACGAGTTTGAGTATCTCTGATACAAATGATAATGATTCTTACTGAAGTATGAGGAGAATTGTTTCCGAGTGGAAAGACACTGAGTGTCTATGTGTAATAACTAAATGAGCTCAACGAAGAGCCAAAACGTCCTTTAGGATTCTACTACTACTAGTACGGGCAGAACCAGAGTAGGATCTCTAAAAGTGTGTGACTGTGTGCGTCAGCTATGACATCAAACCCTGTGGTTCCATGCCTAGCATGTAGGTCAGAACCATCCTGCAAAGTTTGAATGATGTAGGTTGAACGATCGCGTGGCGAACCATACCTTTTGAAATTCTCTTCGTAGTACACCTTCCACCATTGAAATTTCGAATTTCTTGCTGAGAGGGTAGCTTGCAACCTCGATATGGCTTGTTCCAGGCATGCTGTGAAGCGAAACCATGTTGAAGTAGTGGCAGGGATCTGCCCTGCAACTGCTACAACAAAAAAATGATTCGATCTGAGAAAGCGTGAGACCGCGAATCTCGTTGAATATTGAGTATTTCAAGCCTTTTTAGACGAAGACGGAGTTCCTTTTGGAGACGGACGTCGCGGCAAAAAACATGGTTTCCGACTTCTGGCGTCCGGTGAACCCAAGGATCATTATTTCGTCCAGTCAGTTCGGCAGCCTAACGGTCGGTAAGCTTGTGTTTGCGGGATCCCGGTCTCATACTGGCCAACCCAGCCAAAGCAAATCCCTTACTCACACACCCAGTTTCCCTTATTTTTCTCTCATTTCCCTTATTTTCCTGTTTTCGCCAATTTCGGCCCTTATCTCTTTTCTGGGGCAATTTTTGGTTATTTTTGCGTATCTTCCTCGATTTGTTGGCAATTTTTCTTTCTTTTTATTCATTTCTAACCCATTGCTCATTGGAGGACCAAAACCTGAGTTTCTTTTGTGTTAGATCGCCCCTACATGTGTGATTCTGTGAAATGCGGGGCCGCATGTGCCCTTGTCACACCACAAAACAACACTTTTATGAACACCCATGGTTCAGTGCCAATACCGATAGTTTTTTTTATCAAAGTAAAAAAAACATCGGTATGTGGGTAGTGGCCGCAGTTTCCCATGAAAATACTGGGAAAACCGGTATGGTTGGCAAGCATGCGTTCTGTTTGATGTGGTAGATCACAAACAATTTTGATATCGCAAGAATTGAACTCCTCATCGTGCGTACGCTATTGTATATTCAGAAAATTGCAAAAACGTCTCTGTGTGGCCGTCCTATGCCACGCGAAACTCCAATCAGGCTCTTATATCCTCTGCCTTCTTGATTGAATGTCCACTTCGTTTGAACAACGAACACAACAATCGAGGACGGCTTTCCAATGAAAAGTACAGCTATACTAGAGCTGAAAACGAAGAAAAAACGTGCTCAGGATGAGACTCGAGTACATGCGAACTATCAAAGAAGGCTAGTGGATGCCACTTATAGATGCGTAATTTCGCGTGACGAGAGAGCTGGTACACGCAATGTGAACCGCAAATGACCCACACAGCCACCTGGGCATTGTAGTCTGGGGGTGTTGAACAGTGCATCCCTGATCCCAGCATACTCACATGCATTACTCATGCAACTAGTGCTGAAACGATTATATCGATTACTCGTTACTTACTGTAAAAGCCATATATATAACGAAGTGCTAACTCTAACGAGTTAACGAGGAGAAATCTGTCGTTAAAATAGAAATTGTTATACAGAAATCGATACAGATACTCTCCTATTGAGCGCTGAAAATGAGACAGAATCGTTACCTTTGGTACACGTAAACTAGTCAATTTTGGGAAATCGTTATATGCGCCTCGTTAGAATAATGGCTTTTACAGTACTCGATAAGAAATAGATCGAGGGGTTATTTCGATTTTATCGGCTAAACGAGTAGAATGGTACTTACGCTCATTTCGGGATTTCCCCTTTTTGGGGGTCGCACAAAGCGTGCATGCGCCGAAAGTGTTGCGAGACGACACGAATATGTACACATGTACATGACTGTACACTTGCAACATCGATGTACGTGTAAAAGTACAAACGCTATCTGAAGAACATCGACGCGATCAAGGTCGCTGTCCTTTCAGCTGACTACTTTCCTTACACACAGCATGCAGGACTGGCAGGCTCAGTATGTGTCTACACTAGCTGCAGGGGCTGGAGTTACCTCCACGTGCGAGTTGTGTTGAGCTAAAGACAGTAAAGTGGTCTTCAGTTTCGTGTTTTCCGTTCTGTCGACGGTTCCCGAACCAGTTTGCTCGACGACGAGCTAGGCCTGGTGTCTGGGCCTATTTTGAGCATAGACAGGAAAAGCAACTAGTTACTTGTTGGCGCACCTCAAGTCACTTCATCCGTCGAAATCCGCCGATTTGCACCCCTGGCCGGCTTCTCTGACTTCATCGTCGGAGTCAGCGAAGGGACAGGCGAAGGGCACCATCAGCTCTTGGGTTGCAAGCAGTGCGTCACCTCTGTCTTGTCTGTATTCGTCTGGTCAGTCCGAACAGCTGACGGACTTGGTGCGGGATCATCGGGATCACACACACGCACACACACACACACACACACACACACACACACACACACACACACACACACACACACACATAATGTATTTGCACTTGGGCCCGCATGTAGGAAGAATAGAGCAGAAACAGTCGTGCGGAACAGTGTCTAATCCATCTTGCAGTGGGACTGTGTGTTCAATTTGGGACCCCCATTATTGTAACTTTACAAATGGAAGTTACACCAATTTTTGACCGCACTTCACGAAGAACACCTCCAAAGAACATAGTGATGGCTCTAGACACCATCATCCTCAGTTCTTTTCCGCAGCGAGTGAGCCCCAAGACAAGAAAATCCCACATTTCTCACCTTCTGCATTACGCTTCGGCAACACTTCGACGCTGCCTGGTTTGTACATTGGCAACGCTTCGCCATGTCAGCCACCGGTACCGCATCCACAATTCCGCCCAGATAGCTCGAGGCCTGGGCGAAAAGCTCTATAAGTCTGCTTTGACAGAAACGGTCTTCAGGCGGAGAGTGGGACCGCGAGAACGAGAATTGAAACAACTTTCTCTCGTGCAACGACAATGGTAGGTGTACTTCAAAGAACGGTCTTCAGAAATGTGCAAAGTTTGGCACCAACAAAAGGGACAGAATTTCTACACGTTACATTCATATCAATTTTCAGAGATACCCGACAAGGATAGAGCGCAAGGGTCCCGGGCGACACGAGCAGTAGTGTGAATTAGAAGCTTTCAACGATGTCGAGCATCAGAATAAAGACGACTGCAATGTGGAATACTGTCACAAGCACGCCCATCAAACACAACTGCACAACTCAAGTCTCAATGCAGATCTACTTCGATAGTTCAAGCGAACACACATCTCATTTCTCAGGAAAATAAGCCCTACATCTACACAGAGCAAGCTGGTAGATCTACCAGGTGAGGTGATTTCCGAATTTGTCAGTAGGGTGCAAAGGTCAGACCGAAGCGAAGGATAAAAGTAGTTACAGTAGAGAGTTTTCGCACGGCGTGCAACGTGAAAAGGCCGAACGTGAGGCTATTCACGTGCGTGACGCACTTGAAAAGAGGTTTCGCAGCAGGTGAACATGGTGAACCATTAGAACTTTGCGTAAATCGCACGTGCTGGGCCATCAAGTGCCAACGTGATGAGGCCGCGTTCCACGTTGGCAACGCGCGTTTACCTCGCTTCTGAACATGGCACGTGACCTTCGAACGCGTCAAGTGAGCGCGTTGAACGCCGTGCGAAAACTCTCTACTAGTAGTAGTACGGAGAATTAGCAAGACGAAATTCGCGTTCGCGTTCGCTCTCCAAGGAAAGTCGAACTCAGTGACGGAATCCGCGTTATGAGAAGGATTAGCAAACAGACTTCGCACATGCATGACGTTGACACGTCGTCCATTGTGTGCAGAGTCTGCAGACAGTATAGCATAGTAAATTTATGACTGTCCTTACACGAATCCGCGATTCGTGTTCCGACTACTTTTCCGAACGAAAAATGCGAAAGTTCGCAATCCAGTTCGCTTTTTGCGAACGCGAACGCGAATTTCGTCTTGCTAATCCTCCGTAATATTTCTCACAAGATACGTGTCGGTAGTCTACATAATCGTCATCTACATGTAGGCCGGCCATGATGCCGGCCACGCGCCAGGGCAAGGGCAAGAGCGCAGCAGCCGCAGCTAGCGGACATCTATATCTCAAGGTGAAGAGTGACGTCATCTTTGTCCGATTATTGTCATTGTATTAAAAATTTAATAAATAATAATAATAATTGTGTCAAACACCGCGTACCGGTAGATGAGTTTGGAACAGGGAGTCGTACTCAAACTAGGGAGGTGACACGGCACAGAAATCCGTGTCACATGCACAGGGGTTGACTCGCACCCGTAACCCCTCCTTGTAGTCCGTGAGCCAAATCTCAGAATCGGCTGTTTTAGCATCGACCGTTGCACCCAGAGAGGGACAAATCGTCCTTCAGCACACCGCTTCACGATGGTATCCTGAAGCGATTTCCACTTGTTGGACAGTTCGAAACTGATCCAGGGAGGTCACAGAAGACGCCAAACATCCAACTAACACTTTTACTTTGCTCACTGACAGCAGCGGCCATTTTCGCCTTCTTCGCTTGATTTTTTTGCGCTTGTTCACGGATTCTCATTTTTTGAAGCCATGAGCAGGTACCACGAGTGCACATAACGCGGAAACCAGTGCACAAAATTAGATTCGAATTTTTTTGCCGCTGAGAATTATGAATCGGGATGCAAACTGCATGTAGCAAAGTCAATACTGTTTGTAGTTACAATGCAATCGTTCAGAACTGACTTCCAAGAATGTCCTAAATATCTCTCGACATATTTGTTCACCACTCCCTAGGCCAATAGGCGTAGTAGACTGTAGTGAGTAACCTTCTGGAGCAAATGACGACTGCCCCGAGCATGAACTTCTTTTCATCCTGTTCAAGGTCAAATATTACTCAGTTTGCGTTGAAGAATAACAATTACATTCGTGAATGGCCGAACTGAGAAAACCCTCATGATTTCTCTTGGATTTCGTATCCCAAGTTCCTCTACTTGGCTGGATAAATCGCCTCTTGACTTCATCATACTGGACTGGAACTTGTAGATAATAGCGAGCAATGAATTGGTGAGTGAAGTATATTTCAAAAGTAATAACCACTCGATTACTGAATAGTAGTGAATACGTAGAATACTCCAGTATTATAATGATATGAACACTGAAGCTAATGTGACATTACAGTAGTACAATAGGAAGTACGTCACCACTGTTGTAAATGCACGCGCTGATCCTATCCAACCTGACGGCCAATGCAAGAGGTTGGAATTGGCTATTGATTTCCTCACACACTCATACAGCACCAAAAGCTATCTGTCATTGCTCATTTTCAACTCAACATAACACAGTTGCAAATCACCAGGTGCACATCTTGGCACATAATGTGTGCTGTCGCAGTCCACCGCAGAACATAGTAATCCACAGATACTACCGATATAAGATGATGTCACATACATACATGTACATACATGCATGCATGCGCGCACGCACACACACACACACACACACACACACACACACACACACACACACACACACACATGAAGCAGCTGAAGAATCCGAGTATGCAGTCTCCCAGGCACGCGCACACACATGAACCAGCTGCCGAATCCAACTATACAGTCTCCCAGGCATGCACGCTCGCACACACACACACACACACATGAACCAGCTGCCGAATCCACACAAACACGCGCGCGCGTGCGTGCGCACACACACACACACATGAACTAGCTGTCGAATCCGACTATGCAGTCTCCCAGGCACGCGCGCACGAACACGCTTATGCGCACGCGTGTGTGCGCGCACACACAACATGAACCAGCTGCCGAATACGACTATGCAGTCTCCCAGGCACGCGCGCGCGCGTGCGTGCGCACACGCACACATGAACCAGCTGCCGAATCCGAGTATGTCAGTCTGCCATGACTGCGAAACCAGCGAAGACATACGGTTCATTGGCTGCTGCCAGACTGGTCTGCTACAGGTTTGCGACGCTCTTGAGTACACTTGTGGCATGGCAGGCCGCTCTTCGAAAAGGAAATGTTACAAATACTACACTGAATCCGATCACGGGAGGCCGGCTGTGGCGGTGAAGCAATTCTGAATGCTGTGCGCCACTCTCCTCGCTGCTGTGCAGTGTCGAACCAATGTCCTTCAAGATGTAAGTGATGGATGTCTCTTCGGACAACATCACACCAATGCTGTCGGGTTTCACACACACACACACACACACGGCGCACACCTTGTCGACAATTGCGGAATCTAAAACCCACCAACGACCTGAAACACGGATCGCACTGGCCGCAGTGGCTGTGGCAACACCGTGCCCCAACACCAGTAGTAGCCTGGGGTGGTGTCACCAACAAAGGAAAACGCCTAGCACGCACATGCACGCGCGCGCGCGCGCACACACATGCACGCTCGCACACACATGCACGCTCGCACACACATGCACACTCGCACACACATATGCACGCGCGCGCACACACACACACATGCACGCGCATGCACACGCACGCACACATGCACGCGCCCACACACACAAACACGCGCACACATGCACGCTCGCACACATGCACGCGCGCGCACACACACAAACACACGCACACCCAGAAATGTGCACACAAACACGTGCACACACACACACACACAGCTAATGGTATACAGTAGTATGTTGCCCGCAAAGCAGCCAGGTGCTCTGGCTTGGACCTCCAGCAGCGCTGGTTTCGCCCTCGCTACTTGTCGTCTTGCCCTCTCCAGTGCTGCCTGCAACAAAACATTCCCTTCCGGAAACTCTGGGTGGACCAGTTCTCCGTGTTGTGTTTACACCGTGCTCTGCTTTCATAATTACCGGTATGGCATTCGTTGTTCGTATCAACCACTAAGCTCCTGGTAGGTGGCCCCTTACTGGCCTTAGGATGTGGCTCTGGGTTCACTACTACATGCACATCATTGTCAGCAAGTATAAACAAAGCAAAATCAGAGGCACTGGTCTTCTCCAGGTTTGCAATTGCTATCACATGCGTGCAATTGGTGTAGCACTTTCCATGATACCAGCCATACCATTTACTCCTCCCTGAGCTCTTGTGCTGGCAGAGAAAAGCCCAGATATGGTCGTCCTTCTCTCGAGCTCGCTGACGATGCGACACCAACTTGTAGTCTCGATATTACTCACTGCAGGCTTCTCGTTTTTACTAAATTGGGCGCTGTGACACAGACACAAAATTCCAGCAATATTACTCCGCTGGGCTGTCATTTGCCACTTCGTTGCCGTCAGCTGCCTCATCCAGCACCTCGCTGCCACTAGAAACGTCTTCCTCGTCTTCCATTGTTGTCAAAACAACATCAATGTACACGAAAGGAATAAACTTCAATAAAGTGATCACAATATCCCAAGTCGATATTGTCGTCAACGTCGTCATCTTCTAAAAAATAAATTATTTTTCCTCACTCCACGCGAACTGTAGCAGTGCGCTACGTAATTCTATACAAAAGTCTGGATTCGTGAATTTAGAACTAACTTCGAACGATTGAATCTGGTGTCATAATTAATGTTACTTTAGATTACAGAGAGGACAGAAACATTACTGTTCGGCTCACAACCAGAGAGAGAGAGAGATAATGGAAGCAAGGTAAAAGGCAAGGAGCGGCGACTTCTGCTCGCCTGCTGAATACGGTGTACGGTACAACTATACCAAAAGGGAAGGCCAGCGGCGCACTGGAATCTAGTTGTACACAGCTGTAGTACGCATGCAAATAAGGATAATACGGTGCGGAAGTGAACGGCGCATGCTGATACGGTAAAGCGGTCGTAATACATATAAGTGTGACCGCGAGACCGGAGAATTTCATGAAGCCAATAATATGAGAATTTCATTGAAACCGAAGTAAATCAGGTCATGTGACCGAGAATCCGCTACATTACTCCCCTGCCAGTGTACAAGCCGGAGGCAGGAAACGATAACTTTGGAAAGGAGAGAAACGGCAACCGCAACGTAGAAGAAGAAGCGTATAAAGGAAGAAAAAAAATGAAAACCGCACGGCAACCAGAAAAGGTCCGACATGAAGCCCACGGCGACAAAGAACGGAGGAGCCCAGCCGATCAGGTAGCAAAGCGAACAGCACGTGCAGGGGGTGGGGCAGCAGCAGCAACTGGCGGGACAATCAGAGAAAGAGCAGAAGCAGCAGCAGCTGTAA